TCCATCCTGGGGTTCTCTCGACTTCCTAAATGATTTGTTAAAATCTGCATACATTAAGGTTCACTCTTTATGCTGTGAAGTTCAGTGGGTTTTGACAAATGCATAGTGTCATGTATCCACCATCACTGTTTCATGCAGAATAATTTCACCGCCTGGAAAAAACCCCGGTGCCTCACCTATTCAATTCCATCCTGTCAAACCTCTGGCAACCACTGATCTTTTCACCCATCTTTATAGTTTTGCCTTTTCCGGAATGTCATGTAATTGGAACCATACAGTATGTATCCTGTTTAGACTGGCTTCTTTCACTTAGCAATATGCATTTAAGATTAAGCCAAGTCTCTTTGTGGCTTGATAGCTCTTTTCTTTTTATCACTTAATAATTCTCATTGTCTGGATGTGTCAGTTTATCTGTGTCACCTACTGAAGGGCATCTTGGTTGCTTCCGGTTTGGGGCCATTATGAATAAAGCTGCTGTAAACATTCATGTGGAGGTTTTTGTGTGGACATAACGTTTTCAAATCAGTGGGGTGTGATTGCTGAATCGCATGGTGACACTGTTCAGCTGTTACTCACCCTGTTTTTTTTTTTTTAAAGAATATTATAGAGGAAACCTATGACTTTCTTTGATTTGTGTCCTTTGACAGTGCCATGCTACTACTCTTTTCCTATTTCTGGAGGCTTGATTGAAATTTCTCCAGAGGAGTGTTAAAATTCAAATTGTTTTCAGTGAAATTTGAAATTATGATGGAACTTCTAAGAGTAGATTCTTAAAAATCTTTTTAATTTTAAAATTTATCCCCAGTGGGTCCTACCCTGAGAACTTAATAGATCAGCTGTCTAATAAGTTGAAGTAATTGAGATACAATAGTAACAAGTTAAAAATAATCGTACTAGCATTCCTGGAGGCTTTGGGAGTGACATGTACATTTAATTTGAAATAGTGAGGAAGTGTTTCGATGGACTCTCTTCCCATAGATGTGTAAGCTTCTCTCCATGTAAAGACATCAGAATCTGCATGATTCCTGACTGGTGCTAAAACTTGAAACATTCTGAAAACACACTGATGTTGAGGTGTGGGGCTGGCTCATTCGGAAGACTGTGTGACTCTTGATCTTGGGGCTGTGAGTTTGAGCCCCACACTGGGTATAGAGATTACTTAGAAATAAATAAACAAACTTAAAAAAAAAAAGAAGAAAGAAAACACAATTGATGTGACAGAGGGAAGGTACAAAACGGGAGAAAGGCTTGGATTTTTTTGAGTTTTATTGGTGTATGGTTATTGATGTGTAATGATATATAGTAAATACCCTGCACATTTTTAAAATGTACAGCTTCAGTTCTTGACATGTGGATCACCGACCAGCACTACAATCAGAGGTAATGAACACGGCTCTCACTCCCCAAAGTTTCCTTACTCGTCATTGTCATTACCCTTTGTCTTGGCAACAACTAGTCTGTCACTTTTATCATGATAGATTAGCCTGCATTTTCTCTCTCTCTCTCTTTTTTTTAAGATTTTATTTATTTATTTGACACGTGAGAGAGCACAAGCAGAGGAAGAGGGAGAAGCAGGCTCCCCACTGAGCAGGGAGCCTGAGCCTGACACGGGGATTGATCCCAGGATCCTGGGATCATGACCCGAGCTAAAGGCAGCTGCTTAACTGACTGAGCCACCCAGGCTCCCCTAGCTTGCGTTTTTTATGTTTCTGTATATTGTATATATAATTTATGTGAATTTAAATGGAATCATACAGTGTATATTTGTATGGAGAAGTTTCTGCTTTCCCTCAGAGTAATTATTTTGAGATTCATCTGTATTGTTGGGTGGATCGGTACTTCCATTTCTTCGGTGCTGAGTAGTATTCCAATTTATGGTGCCATGGACTGAATTGTGTTCCTTATAATTGCATTTTGGAGCCCTAACCCCCAGCGTGACTATTTGCAGACAAGGGCTATTAGGAGCTGAGTAAGGTTAAATGAGGTCAAAAGGGTGGGGCCCTAATCTTGTAGGACTGGTGGCCTTATAAGAGGAGGAGGAGGAGTCTTTCCTTCTGCACCATTGAAGGACTGTGTGAGGGCACAGCAAGGAGGTGGACTTTGCAATCTAGGAAGAGAGCTCTCACTAGAACTGGACTATGCTGACATCCTGATCCTGGACTTCTGCCTCCAGGACTCTGATACAATAAACTTCTGTTGTTTTAGCCACCCAGACTTTGATGTTTTTGTTACTGTGGCCTGGGCAGGCTAAGACCTATGGATACACCATAGTTTGTTTTGTTATCTTCCTGTGTTTAGACATTTCTAGTTTTTGGCTCTTTGCAAATCTGCTATGAACATTCCTGCACAAGTTTTTGAGTAGATCTGTGCTTTCATTTTTATCTGGTAAATATCTACTGGCTTGATTACGTGTTTCACCTTTTAAGAAACTGCCAGATGATTTTCTGAAGTGATTGTACCATTCGTACTAGCAGCATATGAGAATTCTGGTTCCTCTATATCAGTCTTGAGGCTTGAATTTTGAATCGCTCATCCTTAGGTGGTCCACCCAGATGCACGGAGGAGGCTCTCCAGCTGCTAGCGCACGTGGCAGGCAGCCATTTCCCTGGGGAGCCTGCTGCCGTACTCTCTAGAGTGTTCTCAAATGGGAATTTATGCCCACGTGAATTTACATTCCATAAAAATACAGAATGACTTAGTATCTTTATTCGTTAAGATTTTATCCTTCTTTCATGGCTTTTCCTAGTTTTATTTTGCTTGCAGACCTTCTGTGTTAAGCCCAGACTTTCTGGGCTATGAGGTTTTAGAGGGAGCCTGGGTTTTTGAGTCATACACACCTGGATTTGAATTTGGGCTTTATGGCTTAGCTGTGTAGCAAGTCGTGTGAACTGACTCTCTGTTTCCTTATCTCTTTCTAAAAAGTGTTGGGAGATTGGTAATACCCAGCTTGATTTGTTGTTATAAGTCTTTTCTTTTTTTTTTTTTTTAAAGATTTTATTTATTTATTTGACAGACAGAGATCATAAGTAGCCAGAGAGGCAGGCAGAGAGAGAAGGAAGCAGACTCCCCGCCGAGCAGAGAGCCCGATGCGGGGCTCGATCCCAGGACCCTGGGATTATGACCTGAGCTGAAGGCAGAGGCTTTAATCCACTGAGCCACCCAGGCGCCCCTGGTTGTTATAAGTCTTAAGTATAATGCATTGAAAACATTTTCATTGAACATCTTGGAAACTATTCATTTCCCAAGATATATTTGTAATTAGAAGTCCCATTTCTGACTGACCTGCTACCCACGGAGTTGGAGAGGAATTGAAGTTTTAATGGGTGCCACCAGTTAGAGGGCGGCCCAGAATACATGGCAAAATGCCAGGGCTTAAGATAACCTTGCAGCATTTAATAACATCCAGGCCTTCCTTTGGCCATTTATGGATTTATCTCATGTTCCTATTTATGTACTTACACAAAGACAATTCCTTCCTGAGTGTGATTCCTTTTAGTAGCCCATTTGTGAACCGCCAGCATCCACGGTACTTAGGGAATGTTTTTAAGGAGGAGAAAAGGAGCACACCGTGGCTCTGGGAGGGCTGTTTCTCAGGCCTCTGGGATCCCAGCCAGTGCACACGGCTGTCTGCCTTTCTCAGAGCTGGGGCTGCCGTGTTTGAGTGCGGGCCTTTTGGCCTGCGGACTCCTTTGTCCAGCTGGCTGAGGTGCGATGAGTGCTTTGGGCCTTCTCTCCCACAGAGAAGTGGGAGTTATTCTTTGATGGCTGGGCCAGACTGCTCATCTGATGTTACTGGAGTTTGAAAGGTTGTCCTTGTTGGCATTAGTGTGGCCAGGTCGGTTAGAGTGGGAACTGCAGGGGAAAGGGAAGGTCCCGATGAGGTGGGAAGTGTGGGTGTCAGGCAGCGCTGGATTTGTTTTGCCAGGTGAGGGTGTCTGGGGCCTTCTCTCCCCTGCCCAGCCACTGGGTTCCAAGTGTCCTGCAGTGTTTCTCCTTAGAGCCGGCTGGCTTTCTTGGCATCATTCAGTCTAGTTGCTAGGAAGCCGAATAAGGCAAATGCAACTTCCTTTTGACTTACTCACATTGAACCATCTGCTTATTCCTTCTCATGGCCTTCAAACTTGGCTAGGATCATTGAGAAGAGGGTCGAGTGGAGCATCTGTGCTCCTGCCTTTTTGGAAAAGGAAAGCTTTCTAATAACTCTTTAACCCTCTCGGTCCAAATTCATCGTAGTTCCTCTTGTTTAGCCCCTTGTTTCTTTCAGCTAACAATTTGGAGCAGGCATTTTCTTCTTAGGCTTTGCCCCTTGTTTTTTTCTTAGATTTAGATCAGTGTTAATTCATTAACCACACCACTTCTAAATGAGGAAAACGTTGTCGACGTGCATGGAATGCATTTGGCATGTAAACCTAACAGTGGTTTTAATCGAGGACTTCGAGTGCTTAGAATTGATGCACACGAATGATTCAGGAACGTTCTTGATAAGTGCCATTGTGGGGTTGGTGTCAGATACATACATTAAAGGTGCCTGATAATTTGTGAAAATTTATGGTGATGTTGGTGGAGCATCTACCAAAGAGAAGCTTTAAAAAAAAAAAAGGATTTTTAAAAAATTGCCAAACACCACTAGCATTGCATTCTTACTTCTATTTTGGTTTAATTCCGCTCATTTGGGTAAATCTGATTCATTATGTTGAAGCCCCTTTCCTTTGGTGCACTTGTAATGGTTTTTTCTTGTGAGAGAGCTCTGCCTTCAGTTGTCAACTCTGGAAAAGCATTGAGCAAACAAACTAGACAAAAATAGAAATAAGCATTACAAAATAGAATAGAGATTCTGGGAAAAAAAAAAAGTCTTCAGAAAAGCATTGTTCGACTTTTAAAAATCCAGTCTCACTGAAGATTTAATCACCTTTGAGTGTACCAGAACTGTGGAAACTAACATGTGGGCTATGGGAAATAATTTCTTCTTAAGTGTAATTTTGTCTTTGTTGGTTTTTTAGCAGCAAGCCATATAAACCTTTTCTGCCGACTTCTTATTCTCCCCAAGAGGGCTACTTAAAGGAGGGTGAAGACATGCTAAGGTAAAGTTTTATTGTTCTGGCTCAATTTGCTAAAAGCTTTAGTAGTAATGTAGATGTGTTCTTACTGTGCAGACTTACGTGTTTGTTAAAATTGATGCTATTAATATTTGCTTTTTGGGAAGTCCCTCAGGTGCGCTTGATCATATTAAGCCATTCTGCTTTAACTTCTCCCTTCCCATAGCCATTTGGACTCTAGTAACTAAAACAGACTTACGGACTGAAGGGACTCGAACACCCAAGCCCCTTTGTGAGCTCTGCCTGGGTGACCCGCTGCAGCAGGCCCTCCACTCCCTTCTTCCACACCTCCCCACCTTTTTTGTGCCACCATCTGGCCATGGGTAGATGCTCTAAAAATGCGAATTTATTTTAGTTAGGAGGTGAATCAGTATTCCAGTACAAATAAAGTCCCTGAAAAATGGTTTGGAAGGGAAATGAAAGGGAAAGGGCACCTGGGTGGTTGGGTCAGGTAAGCGTCTGACTGTTGATTTCTGCTCAGGTCATGATCTCAGGGCTGTGCCATGGAGCTCTGTGCCCGGCTCGTGCTTAGCATGGAGTCTGTTTGAGATTGTCTCTCTGTCCCTTCCCCCTCCCGTTTTCTCTTTCTCCCCAAACGGATAAACAGATAAAACAGTGATACTAAAAAATAAAAATCCCTTTCAGAGTCTTCCCCACCCTTATTTATTTTGAGTCCGCCCCACCCTTCCTCATTTATTTATTTATTTTAAAGATTTTATTTATTTGACAGAGAGATAGACAGTGAGAGAGGGAACACAAGCAGGGTGAGTGGGAGAGGGAGAAGCAACTCCCCGCGGAGCAGGGAGCCCAACACGGGGCTCGATCCCGGACCCCAGGATCACGACTGGAGCTGAAGGCAGACACCTAACGACTGAGCCACCCAGGCGCCCCACTCTGCCCCTTATTTTTAATTGAAATGGCTCATCCTGGTATATTATTCTAGAACTTTCTTTCAAGTAACAATGTCGCGGAGGATTATTGATCATCGGTTTTGACCACCATGTAGGATTCCAAAGTCTGTAAACCAGTTTTAAAGGTGATCTCACGTAGTTTAGTCTGTCTTTCACATTCAGCAGTGGAGTTCCAAGTAACTAAGGAGGTAAATCAACACGGCACTACAGGACTCCTGCTTTGGATCTACCTCTGTAGTTTTGGTAAAAGCAGTTTTCCTTGAACTGTATCTGAATTGATTTTTATATGTATGAAGCTTGACAGGGCCTCTCTCTTGCCTGCGTTAAAGATGAGATTTGTGTCAGATTAGATTAATAATTCAAAATTGAAAAATGCCTTCCTCGACTGCGGAAGCACTTGGAAGTATAGAATTCAGGAGTGACTGTTAATAGGGGTTAGTCTCTCTCAGGTAACGTTTCCTGACAATGAGACTCCGAATACTTGCACCAGTAGGCAATCTTCTGAAGGAGGGATTTTCTTAGCTCTGGTGTGAAGGAAGCCTAAAGGCAGAGATGGATGATAATGGCTGCATCTGTTGAAGGCCTGTCCTGCATCAGACACCGTTCTAAGGGCTTTACCTACTTTAACTCATTGAATCCTCATAACAGCACTTCTAGGGAGGTTCCAATAGCCCCATTTCACAGGTGGGGAAACTGAGGCATAGCAGTGTTAAGTCGTTCAAGCTTCCCAGTTAGTAGGTGACAGCACTGAGATTCATACCCAGGCAGTTGCAATTTCAACATCATGCTGCCTTTCCTGGATGGCCACATACCAGCTTCTGGGGTGCCTCTCCAACACTGTCTGATTACTTAGAGTGGTGGTGAGCCGTTTTCAGACCACTTTGTAAAAGATTCTGAATAAACTGTGAGAGAAAGCCAGCAAGGACACAGCCTAGCAAGGGGTAGAGAAAGCCGGCCGCTTGAGGAATGGCCTCGGGAGCCAATGGCTAGTGTTTGTCGGAGACAGTACACAAAGATGAAATCCGTGTGGGGGAAGGAAGCATTCTCGGGGAGCTCACGGTGCTCAGGCAGTAGGGGAGGCCTGGATTCAGGCAAAAGCTTTGCCTCTTAAGAGTCTGGAGCCACGTCTTTGCTGTGTCAGGGAATTGGATGTGGCCAACAACCCAAATGAAAATCGTACAGTGGACGAGCAAAGGGATCGACGTTTGCTGGCAGCTCGCTGAGTAGTTGCGGTTTGAGCGTGTTCCGGGGCCGCTTTGCCATGCGGCGCGACACCTCTGGTGAGAAAGGAACTGATGGCTGCCTGCCCAGGTGGTTCTCTCCCTGGCAGGACCCTCCTTGCGGACAGACACACTGGTGTCTGGATGCTGGAGAGCCGCAGTAAAAATGCCTGATTTAGGGTACAGAGTGCCTCGAATTCCCCCCTTTCTTCTGTTAAATCACAGCAAAGGGGACTACTTGAGATGGCTAATAGATTACCCAGCATCTGTGCGCTATTTTGCATGCCTTCAGCAAGGGAAAATGACTGGCTCACAGGGGCTGTAGAGTGTTTAGGAGTAAAGTGAGCAGACCTCACTGCCTTATTTTTTACCCATAGCCAGTGAAGACCTTCAGAGGTAAGCACCTCTTCTTCAAATGGCGTACACGGCTGCTAGAATTATCTCCTCTTTAAAATAAACACCTTCATGTATGGGCTTCTGTCTGTATCAGTCTGTCTTGACAAAGATCAATGGCTCCATGTAGTACTTCTCATCATAACAGGCAAGAGGAAGTGAATGGGGAGAGAACAGAAAAACTCCAGAAACTCGCCATAATTCTAAAATGAGAATGGATTATTGAGCATGTTTCTGTCCCTGTGTAGACACGGCCCTTCTTTCGGTGCATACGCATTGTGCCAGGTGACCTGGTGTTTATTTCTCGGCTTTTGGGGACACATTTAGAGGGAAACTCAGTTTGCACAAACTATTATGTTTTCATGCATCCAATAGTGTTAAAGAATTACGGCAGAATGTGGCTGATTATTCAAAAAGGCACGAAGAGAACCACGAGCGGCCCCAGTCCACTCAGTTCGGTAAGAGTCTCGCTGAGATCCTCCTGTTTTCCTCATCTATTCTTTATAGAGCTGTTGCCATTCATTTTCACTTTTGTAAAAAACCCTGAAAACCTTCAGTGATTGCTTTTGCCCTTGCAAGAGCATGAACGCGTCAATATTTTTCAGGTGATGCCGGTGGCAGGGACACTCGGAAAGAACGGCTTTTCCAGCACTTTTATCAAGTGGTTCAGAAAGAACGTGATCGAGAGAGGCCTTCAGATTGTGTTATTGTTTCTATCAACAACGAGCAAAGGTATATTTATTTTTTTTTAGCCTGTCGAATGAGAATGTGTACAAATGGAATAGTTAAGTATTCAGCCTCACATACATAAGTCACTAAAAGAGAATGGCAAGACTCAGGAAATGCTGTTAGAACACTGCTCTAGGGGGTGCCTGGGTGGCTCAGTGGGTTGGGTGACTGCCTTCGGCTCAGGTCGTGGTCCCAGAGTCCTGGGATCAAGTCTTGCATCGGGCTCCCAGCTCCATGGGGAATCTCCTTCTCCCTCTGACCTTCTCCCCTTGCATGCTCGCTCTCTCAAATGAATAAATAAAATCTTTAAAAAAAAAAAAACAAAAAACAAAAAAAACACTGCTCTAGGAATTACAAGAATGTGCTGTTGAGTTTACCATCCTGTGGCTGGGGAGGTTTCTGATGATAATTTTTTTTTTTTTTTTTTTTTTTTTGATGATAACTCTCTTACTCGATTTTCTGCATTGCTCGAGTTTTCTACAATGAGTAGCCATCGATTTCGTAACCAGGAAAAAAAAAAGGCTATTTTCAGACTGGGTTCCGTGTGCTGGGCACTGTCCTAGGCTCTGGGGGTACTTGAGTGAACGTAACAGATGAACCTTTGCCTTGGGGTGCTGACAGTCTAGTGTAGGACCCACAAGTTGGCCTCACTGATAATTTCAGAGATGGGTTCCTCTCATTTCTTAACTGCTTATTGAATTCCTTTCAGCCTTTGTCCTTGTTATTTTTCCTTCGATGTGGAATGCCCGTTCCCTCTTCTCCATCTGTAACTCGTGCAGGCTAATAACACTTGTAACTTGTATAGGCTACGTAACACCTGTAACTCATCCAGGCCACTTTTGGCCTGTTTTGGCCCGGTCTCCTGCCCTCTTGACTGTCTCCAGCTCGTCCTTTGGGTCCGCATAGTGCCCTGATCTTGTGCACCATTGGCTGTCACTTGAAGGCAGACAGGAGAATTAATGTGTGATGATAATTGTCTCTGGATTCTGTCGGGTTTCGTAGTGCTTGGCGAAGACCATGTCGGCAAATGGTTGGTGGGAGGCATGCGCACGTACCCCAGGCTAGGTGCTGAGTGAGTGATCTGCAGACTCAGACATGAGAACTCATTCCTGAACAGGAGACCAGGCACGCACAAAACATAACTCAGCATGAAGGCAGCACTGGTGTTCTCACTCTGTGTGAAAATCGACAATCTTGAAATGACTCAGAATTCTTACTCTGTGATACCTGCTTTACAGAAACCTAATGTATTTGTAGGTAGCATCTTTGCTGTTAGAGTTTGTGAAAGCAAAATTATAGCTTCATCTCATTTGGAGGGTATTTGGGTTGGATCTTGGGAGAAAACATCCTGGAAGAAATGAGGTCAGTCACAGCATGGGGAGGGTGGAGAGGCCAATTCCTTTTACATTAGAAAATTATGGGATTTCCCTTTAATAATTGAAAGACAAGCAGACATGCCCTGGATTAATTTGATCATGTGGTAATTTAAACCAGTTTTGAACCAGAGGCCGCAAAGACTCAGCATGCATAGTGGCTTGGTTTTTCCTCAACATTTAGCAACTTTGCTACAGTCATTTGCATCAGCCAGGGAAACTGCATTAATCTTTGACTAAATTGGCTTTCTTAGAACTTGTAGCAAGCATCACATCAGATCTGTAGCACCTTGTAGCTCGTTTAGAGCAGTGATGGGCTCCAGCGGCCGTTTGACTCCTGCACCCGGATGCCCTTGCCAGTCTCCCAACTCGAGTCAGGCTGGCTGGTGTGGACTGGAGTACAGTGCTGTGTGGTGGAGAGGAGTCCTTGAGATTGCTCTTCTGCTCCCCCACCATCTGGGGTGGTATTCGGAAACCTCTCCTCTGCCCGACGTTCCGCAGTTCTGGCATTTAGCCACGGATTAGGACCCTCGGCGGGTGCAGCTTAGGAACTCCTCGGCCGAGGGCAGGCTGCATCTGCCAGAGTCAGTGAACTGGGCCTTGCTGCCTCCTCTGTTGTCACTTTGATGTCGGAAAAGATTTGTAGTGATGCATTGGTTGGCTAATTCATTCCTTTATACTCCTAAACAGTAATTAGTTTTCAAATCATGTCCTCCAATGTGAATTATTATTGTGATAGGTTTTTTTTTTTTAATTATTGTGAGAGTTTTGACTCATGGGCTATTACTCTGTAAATATGAACTATGTCTTGTTTTTCTTGTTTTCCTCTTGAATTTGTTTTCTGAAATCATCATTTATGTTCCTAAATTGCCTAGAAAGCATTTTTCCGGCCATCATTTTAGTTTTTAATTCACAGAACATGGCACTTAATGTGTACCTGTTATGTGTGCTATGTTCCTCGCTGAGGAACATACAGGTAATTAAGTGACAGTTCCTCTTCTGTACCACAGGCAGCCCGATAAGATAAAACACGCGCATAACTAACAAGTGGAAGATGCGATATGCTGAGTCGTTCCTGCTCTAAGCAGAGGATATGTAAGAGGAAGAGCAGACTACCACTGTAGGGTCCAAGGAGGTAAATCAGGGAGGTTTCAGGGAATCATGTCATTTGCGATTTTAAGTTTCTGTGTAGGTTTCTAAGCAAGTATTGGGCAGGAAGGGAAGCAGAAATGCAAAGGAGAGTTCTGGGATAGATTCTCTAGGACTTGAAGACCCAAGGCTGAGAAAATGGGAGATGAGAGGACTCTGGGGTTTGATCCAAGGTTGGTTATGGGATGGTTGGTGTTGACTGAGATGGCTAACTCTAGTATCACCTGTTTACTCTTTTTTGCATGTTTGTTTGGCTATACATTTACTTATTTGTTTGTTTATTTACTTAAGTAAACTCTACCCCCAATGTGGGGCTTAAACTCAAAACGCCGGAATCAAGAGTCGCACACTCCGCTGTCTGAGCCAGCCAGGCGCCCCTCATCCATTCACTTGTTAGCAAGGAATTGTCGCAGTTGCAGTGACCTCAACAAATACTTGTCTGTCCCCGGAACTAATTGTAGATGAGCATTCTCTTATTTTTTCTGAAGATACTAGTCTTAACTGTTCTTTCAAACAATCTTACATTTTGTTTCATCGTCTTTAAATTGAAATGATTTCATCAAATAACATTTGAATGAGTCCATCTTGAAAAATGCTGGCCGCGTTTATCTCACTTACCCAGTGTATCACGCCACCCAAAAACACGGCTCTCACCTACTCTGCTTCTTTTATAAAATTCTGTATATGGTCAACCGTATGAGGACACCACATTTTCAGAAAAGTAAGATTCCTTTGGTTAGAGTTGCCTCCAGTTCTCTTACTGATTCCATCAAAGGGATAACATACTACTGAAATTTTTTTTTAAGATTTATTTATTTATTTATTTGACAGAGAGCTCACAAGTAGGCAGAGAGGCAGGCAGAGGGAGGGGGAAGCAGGCTCCGCGCTGAGCAGAGAGCCTGATGCAGGGCTCAATCCCAGGGCCCTGGGATCATGACTTGAGCCGAAGGTAGAGGCTTTAACCCACTGAGCCAGCCAGGCGCCCCTCTATGTTTTCAGTGTGTCTAAGAATGAAAACAAGTTGTGGGGCCTGCATGATTTTTTAAAAAATACAACATCTTCCACTTCACTTCCCAAGTACAGTAATAGTATAATATCTTACACCTTACTTAAACTTGTCATCAAAATATCTGTGGAACAACCGCTTGGTGATGAAGGTTTTTTGTTTTGTTTTGTTTTGTTTTGTTTTCCTCTCGTTTGATTGACAATAACCTTACCTTTTTCTTGTGTGTGTGTGGTATGTGTGTGTGTGTGTTTTTTTTTAAAGGGAATATGCAACAGGCATAGGTCATCGGTTACAGGATCACGGCCTTGTGGTGGAAATGATTCACCTCTCCTCCGAGTCAAGTCTTATGAGAGCGCTCCAGGAAGTTAAGGATGATAGGTCGCCATTTTGCATTCTTGTTGAACAGTCTAATGTAAAACTTTCCTCTTGCACTGTAATTATACTTCATGAGTCTATCAAAAGTAAGTTTAGCTCAATCTAGAACTATCATTTAAAATGGATCCTGCTTTAAAAATATAATAGTTTTTTTCTTTGTATGCTGGTATATTTCGAAGGTTCATATTTGTCAGTAACTAACCTTGATCTAGTTGAGTAAATGGTGACTTGAATAGGTATCACAAAGTACTCTCCTGTGTATTAGGGTAATTGAAACTTAAATCATCTTTATTGCTTCTTACTTAAGAATCCAGAATATTTTGTCCAAAATATTATGTAACAAGTCAGTTCTCTTATGTGGAAGAAGTTTTGACCAAATCTCACCACCATCTTTTCTGCCCTCCGTGGTAAGTCTAAAATGTTCATGCATTCTTAGACGACCCTTCTTGCCAGCTTTGCCTCTCTTGCGATACCGGAGACATTTCATTATTCTTAGGCTCATGAGAGTGCCCCAAAATGAGCCCTTCTCTACCCTAAAATACATAGCCTCAGGCAGACGCACACATCCTAGACCATTCTCCTATTTGCCTCCTGGGTGGAGTTGCTGCTTCCAGAGAGGAGAGTCTGCCTTGTGTAGGGTCCCTCAGAGGCCCCCTTGGAGTCAGACCCACACAAATCTGGGTTCTGTAGTCCTCTTGGCTCTGTGGAAGCTCTTGGTGCTGTTCTCTGCAGTCCACACTTCCTGAGTTCCTCATGCGCACCAGGCACTGTACGAGATGCAGGCCAGCCCTGCTTCCTTCCTCTGCTTAGGTAGGCAGCAGCCAGGCTGCTTCTCCAACAGGCACATTATCAGCTTGAGTTGCCCTAACAGTGTAGGATTTTCACCCTGAGTTGGGAGACCTTGCCCCTGGTCAGATACATAGTGGAGCACTGGTAGTTGAATTCATATCCTGCATGTGGCTCCTGGGACCTTCACAGAAGTCGGTGTCAGACTGATGTCCTAGAATCCAGCTATAGTGTTGGGTCCGGAAAAAACAGTAGTGAGGAACACTTGGCTTCCCAATAATCTGGGGGATGCCAGGACATCTTCTGACCATTCCATTTGCTTTGCTTCTGTATAGTGACCTATACCCACCTAGCCAGCTCTGGTTCAGTACTATTCCCAAGAGGATGAAACGATGGTTTTTCTCAACATAGAAAATGTCTAATTTATTTTAAAGAAATAAGACTAAACCAAAGTGTAAAAGAAAAGGCATCCTCTCAGAAATTACAATTCCCACCTTCCTGGGGATGGGGGTGGGGGAGTTTAATTGAACAGGTTGTGCCGAGGACTAATCACATCTGTTTACATTCATGCAAGATCATTGAGGAAATAACCACTAAAGTAAGTAGGCCTCTCTTTGACATTGCATTATTTCTGACAGTGTTGTTTTATACCTTGCTCACAGCCATTATGCAGAAGCCTGTGGAGCTGCTTCTGTGCTGAGACAAACATGTAAGACAGACAGACAATGAAACTTCAGCACCTATAGGCAAATATACATTCATTTCTTCCTAAATGTAACCCTAATAAACAGTTTAAGATTTAACCAAATAACCATCATTGCCGCTGTAGCTCCGTAGTGCCCCTTGGATCCTAAATTTGTTCAGATGTGATACATGGAAGACAGGGTAGGGGCCTCTCATCTAAAATGAAACTTTCATGAAGTCTTATTCTCAGTAGGTAAACCCAGGAGAGATTAGGAGACACCTATGCATTGACTGTAGCCATTAAGTTATGTAAAAGCCATTCCTAGTGTCTAGAATTTATTTTATATGTAGTATTTAGGGCCTGGAGCACTCCTGACCTGACCTGGAAAGGCTTTTAACATGATTTAAGATCCCAGAGGCCTGAGCTAAAGATTGCAGAGCCACGCAGAGGATTGTGGGTTACTCCTCAGCCTACAGTGACAGAGCCTAGAAGTCCTGCACCACATGTCTGTGTGTGTGTCTGCCTGTTATCAAAGTATTACATATACAGAGTGAAGAGATTAACGCTAAAAGGTGTGTAATGAAAACCAGTAGCCCCATGTCTCACCTGCTCGCTTCTTTGAAGGCTCTGTTCTCTGCTTCTGCTTGTTTCTTCTGTGAATCACTCTTGTCTCAGGTTATCCACGTGGTTTGCTGGAACCAAATCAAACACCTTCACTTTTAGGGTTTTTTTTTCTCCTTTAAACATTCCCAGTAGCCAGCGATGGGTGAAGTTGCATTCTGCCTTTTTTTAGGCTAGATTTGTTTAGCATTAAGAATTCCCATTGATACACATGGCACCTATTTCCATTCTCTTTCTCTCTCTCAGTATAGCGTGGAGTTGTCCAGTTGGGAAAAGCGGGTCTGTATGGAAAAGGGAAATCAAGCTGCACATGTTACAATTTGGAAACAACGTAATGTTTGATTTTGAAATCGACAGGCACCTGCTTTGGAGGGTCCCAGGCCAGTTGGATCAGTAGACAGTCACATCTGTACTGAAAGCTGACACAGCTTAAACAACATGTAGTTGGATTAACTATGTTACTTTCTGATTTTAAAAGGAATCAGGGCACGCATTTGATATAAAGCAGGCTCTTTCTCGTCCCTAGTACATCGTCATATGCCCCTGGAAGATGCCCTGGACCTGGTGGCTAAAGAATACAGGAGATTTTTCTCGAAACGGGAGCAGCAGGAACGGGCTGGAATTGCTTTGCAGGCCGGAGATCTGGTGGATGACTTCTTGGCCCGGGAGCGCCTGACCAGCTACTCCGTCCCTTCGGGCATTCAGCACCTCCTCTTCCTATTGAGTGAGGGAATGCATTTGTATGGGAATGAGTTGAATCTGCTCATTGACTACCTGAACACCAGGAAAGGGCACCTGGAAGGTATTTGGCACTATTTTCCCTCCCCATTTTTTTTTTTTTTTTAAAGATTTTATTTATTTATTTGACAGGCAGAGATCACAAGTAGGCAGAGAGGCAGGCAGAGAGAGAGAGGAGGAAGCAGGCTCGCCGCAGAGCAGAGAGCCCGATGCGGGGCTCGATCCCAGGACCCTGAGATCATGACCTGAGCCGAAGGCAGCGGCTTAACCCACTGAGCCACCCAGGGGCCCTCCCTCCCCATTTTTAAACCCCAGGAAATCCTATTCTGCAAATCCATATGTGAAAGTAAAACTAAGAATTTTTTATTTAATTGAGAGACTATACATCTGTAATGTAAAGGTGTCTGATAGGAACATGTTCCTCACAGGAATTACACAGTTTTTTAATGTGTAACCTTTATAGACTAAAATGCTTTTTTTTTTGAAGCTAAATTTCCTTTTGAATCAGATTTTTAATGTATAAATAGGATGACTTATCTATATAGATGGACAGGTGGGAAATAGTTTCTGTTCCTTGTCGGTTTACTTTTGTGATTCAAAAGTTTCAGCTTGTTAATTGATACATTTGTAGATTATTTTTAAGTGCATCGTAAACATAAAGAAGTAGTTCCTAATCTTGAAGATTTTAAAGAGCATTCCAGTTACGAGCCAAACTCGTTAAGATGGTGACTTTTCAGTTTATTTGTTTTGAGTTGAGTAGGTGAGAAGAAAATAATAATCACTTGTCCCTGTGGGGAAACATAGCTGAACTTCTAGGGCCATGTTAAAGCTTTAAAGAAATCGTTCATCTTATAAAATGTAGAATGTATTTTATTTAAGATTTTATTTATTTATTTGAGACAGAGAGCACAGAGGGAGAGGGAGAAGCAGACTCGCCTCTGCACAGGGCTCGATCCCAAGACCCTGGGATCATGACCTGAGCTAAAGGCAGACACTTAACCGACTGAGCCACCCAGGTGCCCCAAAATGTATTTTATTTTTGTACATTTTTTGGTACCTTCTTCTCAGGGTTGTGGGTGGGGGGTGGCTCATAAACTTGAAACACAATTGTTTTTTTCCGAGTGCTTATGTCATTTATTAATTAATTGATTAAGTATAATTGACATATTCTATTGCTTTCAGGTACACAGTGTAATGATTTGATATTTGTATATATCATCTAATGGTGACGACAACAAGTCTAGTTAACATCCTGTTTCTCTTTGATCGTAGAAACCTCTAAGTCAGAAAAGTTATGGTCTTCTTTGACTTCCCCAAGTTGTTCCTTTTGCAGCTCGAGCCTCTGCAGCAGACTTCTGATGACCATTCATTTTCTTCATTTTTCCAGGCTTTGAGACACTTGAGTCTTTGGCTACCAGTGATCATTCCTCATTTCAAGGAAGGAATACCCCTGTTGTGGGCAAGCTGCCTCCGCTTCTTCCAACCCCTGGAAAGCCCTCCTTCTCGGGCCCTCATCTCCCACTTCCTGCCAAGTCCCCATTGTTAGGGGACAGACCGGGAGGGGGTCTCCTTCCACCACCAGGTCAGTGCTTCCCTCCAGGAATAAGAGCTCACGGTGGCTCTGCTGCCTCTACGCGCATGGCTCTGAGAGAGCAGACAGTTGAGAACAGTTGCAGTGTCTTTTGGCATAGTCTCAGCGAATGCTAAGATTTCAGAAGACCAGAAGAGACATCTGGGGTTTCAGTGGGTGCCATTTCTCTTGAGTGAATTGCTTAAGTTTTAACATGGGGGACGTGTAGAGGAGCTTTCTTATCAAGGTTGGTGGCCACATTGAGGATGGCTTAAACAGAGTTCCCTTAATATGCACTCTGAATTCCATAGTGTTTTCCAGGCTTTTCTGAGTAGTTGGCATAAATAGTATCTGACATCTGCCTAAAATGAGGTTGTATTACTGTGGACTCCTTCCATTGTAAGTGACAGGGACCTAACTCAGCTTAAAACAAGGAGACCTGACTGGCTTACATAAATGAAAATGCCCAGGGTTGACTCACTTCCAGCCAAACTGGATCCTGCTGCTCAAGCCTGTTACAGACATCCATCTCTTCACTCGGGGAGGAGACTTGGGTGTGGCGCTAACCACTTGGGGTACCAAGTTCCAGTCAAGCCCAGTGTCCATTATGCCTCTGGTTCCTGGGGTGGCTGGTATCTGAGCCTTTCTTGCCTCTTGAGGGTAAAGAGGTTTTTTGTTTTGTTTTGTTTTAAGACTTATTTAATTATTGAGAGAGAGTGAGATTGAGCATGTGCGAGCAGGGAGAGGAGTAGAGGGGAAGGGAGAGAAGCAGACTCCTTACTGAGTGGGGAGCCTGACACAGGGCTTGACCCCACGACCCCGAGATCATGACCTGAGCCGAAATCAAGAGTTGGCCACTTAACTGACTGAGCCCCCCCCCAGGCGCCCCAAGGTTAAAGAGTTTTAACTCCTCTGTAGGCACCCGGAATGCAGTCCCACTCCTTCTGTTCTCATCTTCCAAATATTTGTTGGTACACTCTGTCCCCTCTCCTGTGTTCCTTGTGTATTAACAGTGGGAGCAGAGAAGAGGCTGGATGAGAGCAGGTTTTCAGTCTGCCATGTTAAAGACAGAAGTTGGCAGTGAAGTCTTCATAGAAAGGCGGCTTTTCTCCTGGGTCTCAAATAAAACTTGGACCTTGGATGCATTCGTGTCTAAGAGTCAAATATTCCTTTGGTCTTTCATGGGAGCGGGGATCATTTTAGCCAAAAACCTTATGAGCACATTATTTCCACCTTGGCTATTACTGTGGATCTAAATAGAGAGAACGTGTCCTTTTGCTTTGGTCGCTGTACATGTGTATGTCATTTATTAGCGAAGTCAGTGTGTGTTGAAGATCACAGCCCTAGGGGTGAACATTTCTGAGCCCCCTCCCTTTCTGACCTGGTGACCTTTGGGATGATTGGGAGTGTAGTTCCATGTCTTCTCTGTTCCTGTCACAACTGGGGCTCTCCTGCTGTACCCTGTGCTTGTTCCTTTCCTTCTGCTGCACTCAGCCGCGCTCCCCTGTGCCTCAGCCCAGTCCCTCGGTCCACCCTGGGCATTATTACACCTGGTTCCCGTGAGAAGCCAGTGAGTTAAGAAAAGAAAGGCTCAGGGGGAGCTCTTTTTGCTGTGAGTTGCTTCTCATCCTTGCTGAAAGTTTAAAAAACAAAATTCTTTCGGACCTCAGAAAGGGCTAGGTGCTTGCTTCAGGGCCTTGGCATGAACTGTGGAAATAAATGCCCTGTTCAACAGGGTGAGGACAGCAGGGCAGATCGACTGCCCGAGAGAGAGTGACCGGTTACTAGGCCATGTGGGAGACCCCCAGGACCATGTCCAGGCCGATGTTCCGGGGGGACGGATGTTAGATTCTTAGGAACAGAGTGCTTCAGGTATGTTACGGATCTGCCTTCATGACCTGTCTGGGAAAATGTTCGATGTCTGAGAAAATAACATTCCAAGTATCAAAGAGAACATTTGGAACAAATCCCACTTGGTGGAAAGGTTAGGGTGGAGAACCGGGATGTCAAGACACACACACACGCACACGTGGACTAGATGAAGGGTTCGCAAACTTCTAAGGGCCAAATAGTAAATATGTTATTTTTAGTGTTTACAGGCCAAGCAGCAAAGTTAAGGATACTCTGTATGTACTTCTATAATCATTGAAAGCATAATTATTTAAAAATGAGAAAACCGTCTCAGCTCATGGGTCGTACCCAAACAGACGGTGGGCTGATTTTGGCCCCCAGACTCTAGTTTGCCAGACCCTGGATAAACACTGAGGCCTAGTCAGGGCCCAGAGGGGGCTTGGTAGAGCTCAGAGGAGTTGAGATTTGTGTGTGTGGCAGGTGCTCCTGCTCAGCCCTTCTCTAAAGATTAAGGAAAAGTCCCTTTGTGGGAGCAGCTGAAATCAGCTTCATCATGTATCTTCTGGTTTATGTTTTGTTTTTTCATTCCCTGCAGGACTGGGCAACCCCAAAGGTCTGTTTGCCCCTCCCCTGCTCCCAGCAGCCCCCTCCAAGAGACTTGCTCCTTTGGGATGCCTACCCCCCAAGAGTGCCAAGCGCCCACTGCTTGGGGAGAAACCAGGCCTTCTAGTACCACCTCCAGGTGAGTAGCCAGTGAGCTGGGAGTGACATTCTAGGCTCATGCTGTCCAGTGGCGCTTTCTGCGAGAGAGGAGATGTTCTGCAGCTGTGTGGTTGGATGTGACAGCTGTGGGCCGCATGGTGGCTGTTGAAACGTGGCTGGTAAGACCGAGGAACTGAATTTTCAGTTGTGTTTAAGTGGAATTAATTTGAGTGAGTATCATCCCATAGTAATTACAGAGTAGTCACATGTGGCTAGGGGCTGCCTAAGTGGTCAGTGTGGTTCTAGGCTACTGGATGTGATAAGAGGCTATAGCAGTAGGCAAGAAAGTGTGTTATGTTTTTACCATGTAGAAATCTATTTTCCTCATCCCCCCCCTTTTTAAAGCTGCAGATGTACTTAAAAAGGGAAAGATATTTCTAACATAAATGGACATTATTGTCAGTCGCTGTAAAATAGAAGGTAACCCTAATAAGGAGACCACAGAAGAGTATTTCTGCTGGGAACTACTGCCGGTCTCAGTCTCTGAGCGTGGGACTTTTTTAGCTTCAGGTTAAGAAAGGAGATTACGGAGGGCCAGGGAGGTGTTAATGGGAAACCAGCACTACTAGAAAAAGAAACTCTCCTTGACCGTGACTCTCCAGGAGGATTGCAAGAAGTGGGCAAAGGGAGCATATTCTCACGAGGTTGGATGTCATAGAATCATGTGCCCGCGTATTGCTGACATCCCTCGGAGGGGTGCACTTTGTTTCTGCTTGGCGCGGGGAGGCACACAGCCCCCCTGCTGCCTGGCAGGGCGCCGGGACCCGACCTGTCATACTTAAGGTCGTGACTGATTGATAGGCAGCCGTGACCCCAGGTCTGCGCAGGAAGGCAGGCTTTTCCTCTCTCTTCCTTCCAAGTGCAGGCCTGGCCAGCTCTTCTCTGGTGCTGCCTTTCCTCCTGTATGGCTGGGGGAGATGAGGCCAGAGGCCCCGAAGCGGCGCACAACCCCAGCAGGGCACAAAGGTGGAGGGGAGAGCTGCGATGCTGGGCTGGAAGGCAGCCAAGCTGGCGTTTTGCTGACTTCATCTCTAGTCACTCAGGCTTTCCGAGCATAAGTAAAGGCGCTGCCCGGAGTTCCTCTGGGTTCACTGTTAGGTTTGAGTTCTCTTCTGAGATTTGATGCCTAAACCCCAGCTCTTAGGAAAGTGAGCTTTTGTCCCTCTCTGCTCTTCATGCAGGACACATTTTTCATGATAATGACTGCCGTTTTAAAGTCTCAGTCCTCGGGGACCTGGCTGGTTCTGTTGTTGGTTGGTCTCGAGGTCGTGAGTTCGAGCCCTACATCAGAGGTAGAGTTCACTCTAAAAAAATAAGTGAAGTCTCATCTTCTGTGTTTTAGTCAAATCTGGTTTTGCAAGATGTACCTGCTGTGGTTGTGGTATAATGGATGTGTGTTTATGAAACGGTGACAGGACACGGAACACGTATAGGTTCGTGATCCCTACCCTCCTGGGAACCTAAACAGTCTCTTTCATTCTGAAGATCCTCCTCTGATAGACCTCATTTTGGGGAAATTTCGAGAATTTTCCTTACCCCCAAAGATGGCCCTCTGTGCCCCAAATTCCAGGACTAATAGAGAAAACATTTTTAAAAAAATTTTTTAAAGACATTTATTTATTTATTTATTTATTTGACACAGAGGGAGAGAGATCACAAGTAGGCAGAGAGGGGGAAGCAGGCTCCCCGCCGAGCAGAGAGCCCGATGCGGGGCTTGATCCCAGGACCCTGAGACCACGACCCAAGCCAAAGGCCACTGAGCCACCCAGGCACCCCCGAGAAAACATTTTTAAAAAACCAGTGAAAACATGGAGGCTGCCTATACAAGGCATAAGGGTAGTAGTTACCACGCACTGAGTTCTTGTCCTGGGGCAGGCATTGAGGTAATCTCATTTAGTCTTCAAACAACCCTGCGAGGTACATAGTGAGATCATCTCCCTTTTCCACATGAGTCACTAAGGCTCAGAGGGTGAGGAGCCTGGCCAGGGTCACACAGTGGTACTGGTGGGGCCGACACTGCGCAGCAGCCATGGGACTCCATGCTCAGTGCTCTTACCCACCACACAGTCCAGAAAGTTGTCAAGTTTTGCTTGGATTTCAGCCACATCCTTCCCTTCACGGTGGGAGGACTGCAGAAATTTTGAGGGAAGGAGTGGTTGTAGTTTGTCCAGGGCTTCTGGGAAGCCAAGAGCTGGCTTTGGAGGAAGTCGGGTGTTAGCGTGTCTGGAGAGGGAGAGGTACCAGGATCTCCTGTGGATAAAGAGGGACCTTTGGGTGAAGTGTTCCTAACTCAGCGAAGGTGGTGTTGGGGGCAGGTGTCCCCTAGTGCTTTGTAAGACAAGGTCTAGCACCAGCCACCAGGATTAAGTGAGATAATATGCATGAAAAGCTTTTAAGATGCCCCAAGCATGGCACAGATGTCCGCCTGCTGAGGTCGCAGCTAGGCGGGTGTGCTTCTGCCTGCAGAGGTGGGTGCGGCTGGAGGGCTGTGGGTCAGCTGGGCCTCTGCAGACCAGGCAGGACACGTCACTGAAGCGGCTGGTTCCTCCTCTTTGCAGCTCTTCAGTCAGTGCTGCACAAGCAGACGGCGCAGCCCCCATCTCTGCTGAAATAAGAAAAGCTCCCGGAGCCAGGAGAACAGAGTGGCTGCTGCCCAGATGGTGGCTTCACCCTCCTTCAAGGACCGAGGCCCCTGTCTGACCCCACGGCACTGCTGTCTGGGCCGTGGGTGTGGATGTGCGTCCCTTCTGCCCAGTAACGTGGTCCCCTGGAAACGTGTTTCCTGTTTGGAGTCTCTGTGCCAGGTAGAGATGTGCGGAAGGTCATTGTTGTAGAAATTGGATCTTGAAGTTGTTCAATTATATACATACTAAAATAAAAACTTTTAGCTTTTACATACCAGTTGCCACTTTTTAAGGACTTGTTATTTTGGAATGAGTTCAGATTTATAGAAAATTCCCAGGAATAATAAAGGGAGCCCCCTTTATCCAACTTGCCCTGATGTTGACATCTTATAAAACCATGGTATCTTTATTGGGAAATTTGCATTAGTACAGGAATATTCACTATATCGTAGACTTAATTCGTACTTTACCAGCTTTTCTGCTAATGTCATTTTTCTGTTTCAGGAAGGTGCCCCATTACGTTTAGACTTTGACTTCATTATGTTCCACTGTTTTTATTATGAAACATTGAAGTATACAGAAGATTTGAATAACATATACAATGAACACCCATATATCTGTATCAACACATTCCCCTTTTTAAAAAATTTGTGTGCATTTCTTTTTTTTAATTTAAATTTAATCAACATATAATGTATTATTGGTTTCAGAGGTTAGAGGTCAGTGATTCATCGGTCTTATGTAACACCCAGTGCTCATTCCATCAGGTGCCCTCCTCAATGTCCATCACCCAGTTAGCCCATCTCCCCACCCACCGCCCCTCCAGCAACCCTCAGTTCACTTCCTGTGATTAAGAGTCTCTTAACGGTTTGTCTCCCTCTCTGATTTCCTCTTGTTTTATTTTTTCCTCTCTTCCCTATGATCATGTTTTGTTTCTTAAATTCCACAGATGAGTGAGATTATACGATGATTGTCTTTCTCTGATTGACTTACTTCGCTTAGCATAATACCCTCTAGTTCCATCCACATCATTGCAAATGGCAAGATTTCATTTTTCTTTTTATGGCTGAGTAATAGTCCATTATATATGCATATGTATACACCACATCTTTATCCATTGATCCGTCAATGGACATCTGGGCTCTTTACTATTGTGGACATTGCTGTTATAAACATTGGGGTGCAGGTGCCCCTTCGGATCACTGCATTTGTATCTTTGGGATAAATACATAGTAGTGCGATTGCTGGGTCATAAGGTAGCTCTATTTTCAACTTTTTTTTTTTTTTTAAGATTTTATTTATTAATTTGTCAGAGAGAGAGAGACAGCGCGAGCGAGCACAGGCAGACAGAGTGGCAGGCAGAGGGAGAAGCAGGCTTCCTGCCAAGCTAGGAGCCTGATGTGGGACTCAATCCCAGGACACTGGGATCATGACCTGAGCCGAAGTCAGCCGATTAACCAACCGAGCCACCCAGGCGTCCCTATTTTCAACTTTTTGAGGAACTTCCATACTGTTTTCCAGAGTGGCTGCACATGCTTGCATTCCCACCAACAGTGTGGGAGGGTTCCCCTTTTTCCGCATCCTCTCTAACATCTGTTGTTTCCTGACTTGTTAATTTTAGCCATTCTGACTGGTGTGGGGTGGTATCTCATTGTGGTTTTGATTCGTATTTCCCTGATGCTGAGCGCTCTGCCATTTCTTTTCTTGTACATATGTCTGTGTAAATAAAATTTTTTTCTCTACTATGAAAGTAAGTTCCAGAGTTCATGACATCCTGCCTTTAAATACTTAAACCTGTAGCATGCATTCCCTAAGAATGGGAACATTCTCCTATATAATTATGATACTGATATCACACCTTAAAAATTAATAATAATTGTGTAATATCGAATATCTGGTTCCCAGATTTGAATTTTCCCATTTGTCCCCAAAGAGCTTTTATGGCCTTAAAACAAAACAAAAAAAGAGTTTTATTTTAAAGTAATCCCTACACCCATTGTGAGGCTCAAACCCCAAGATCAAGAGTCTCACATTCTACCGACTGAGCCTGCCACTGCCCCTTTCATGGCCTTTTTTTTTCCCTCTTCACCCAATGTGAGGCTTGAAGTCCTGCTCCTGAGATCAAGATTCCTGTGCTCTACCTACTGAGCCAGCCAGATGTCCACATTTGGCTTTTTATGTGTGCTTAGTTTCTTTTCATCTAGAACAGTCTTCTTACACCTCCCCCCTCACCCCTCAGTGATGCTGTGAGTCCAAACTGCTTGTCTGTTGTAGAGTATCCTACATTCTGGATTTGTCTGATTTTCTTCCTGGTGTCACTGGATTGTTCCTCTGTTCCTTATATTTTCTGGATACTGACAGTTTGGTCTAGAGGCTTGATTTGATTCAAGTCCTACATTTTGGCAAGGCTGTTTCACAGGGGGTGCGAATTCCTATTGGATTGTGTCGTAAAGCACGTAAGAGTTGTCCTGCTGGGAATGCTGCTGCGCCTGGTCCCTCGGGTGACCACGGAGCAGGTAGGTTTTTCCCTTGAGGCACTATACTTTGGTGTCAAGCAAATGGCCTGTTCCCCAACTTTTACCCTACTGTTTTAGTGTCCATTGATGATTCTTGCCTGATTCAAATATTATATTGTATCCTCCCTTTTTTTTTATACAAATTTTTTTTTAAAAGATTTTATTTGTTTATTTGACAGAGAGAGATCACAAGTAGACGGAGAGGCAGGCAGATAGAGAGAGAGAGAGGGAAGCAGACTCCCTACTGAGCAGAGAGCCCAATGCGGGACTCGATCCCAGGACCCTGAGATCATGACCTGAGCCGAAGGCAGCGGCTTAACCCACTGAGCCACCCAGGCGCCCCCGTATCCTCCCTTTTAATTAAAGTACAACATCTTAAATGTTTACTGAGTTTCAGTAATTGTACAGACCCTGGTAACCAGCACCCAAAACAGGGTATAAACATTCCCATCACTCAGAACATTCTAGGCATTGCCCCCCCTTTCCCCAGTGACTTCTGTCATCTTAGTTTTGTCTGTTTTTTTTAGTGTAAATGGAATCATTTAGACTTACTGCGATGATCATTTCACAATGATTAGTATACAGATACTGAATTGTTGTGTTGTACACCTGAAACGTATAATGTTGTAGATCAGTTATACCTCAGCAACAGAAAATAAACTAGAAATAGTTCTTATGGATATTCAGGTAAACTCTTTCCAGTAGAGCTTTTATCGACTTCCTTCTCCAGTGTAGAAGGATCCAGTTTTGCTTTGATTCATACATTCATTTCAATATTCTGATTTAAAAACGTGACTGTAGGGGCGCCTGGATGGCTCAGTGGGTTAAAGCCTCTGCCTTCGGCCCAGGACATGATCCCAGGGTCCTGGGATCGAGCCCCGCATTGTGCTCTCTGCTCAGCAGGGAGCCTCCCTCCCTCTGTCTCTCTCTCTGCCTGCCTCTTCTACTTGTGATCTCTGTCTGTCAAATAAACAAATAAATTCTTTTTTTTTTAAGAGATTTTCTTTTTTTTTTTTTTTAAAAGGTTTTATTTATTTATTTGACAGACAGAGATCACAAGTAGGCAGAGAGGCAGGCAGAGAGAGAGGAAGGGAAGCAGGCTCTCTGCCGAGCAGAGACCCCGACGCGGGGCTCGATCCCAGGACTCTGGGATCATGACCTGAGCCGAAGGCAGAGGCTTAACCCACTGAGCCACCCAGGCGCCCCAAGATTTTCATTTTTTTTTTTTAAGATTTTATTTATCTATTTGGCAGACAGAGATCACAAGTAGGCAGAGAGGGCAGGCAGTGGGGGCGGGTGGGGGGAAGCAGGCTCCCTGCCAAGCAGAGAGCCTGATGTGGGGCTCGATCTCAGGACCCTGAGATCATGACCTGAGCCAAAGGCAGAGGCTTTAACCACTGAGCCACCCAGGTGCCCCCAAATAAATAAATTCTTTAAAAAAAAAAAAAAAAAGTGACTGTAGGGGCACCTGTCTGGCCCAGTGGGTGGAGTGTGGGACTCTTGATGTCAGGATGGTGAATTTGGGCCCCACGTTGGGTGGAGAGATTACTTAAAAAGTCTGGGGGCGCCTCGGGTGGCTTAGTCGTTAAGCAACTGCCTTCAGCTCATGTCATGATTCCAGGGTCCTGGGATCACGCCCTGCATCGGGATCCCCGCTCAGCGGGAAACCTGCTTCTCCCTCTCCCACTCCCCCTGCTTGTGTTCCCTCTCTCCCTGTCTCTCTCTGTCAAATAAATAAATAAAATCTTTAAAAAAAAAAAAATCTTAAGAGTACCAGTTGGTTAAGCATCCAACTCTTGATTTCAGCTCAGGTCTTGATCTCGGGGGTCACGAGATCAAGCCCCACACTGGGCTCTTTGCTTAGCTCGCCGTCTATTTCAGATCCTCTCACTCCCCCGCCCGCCTCCTGCTCATATGCGTGCACACGTGTGTGTTCACTCTCTCTGTGTGGAAAAAAAAAAATTCACTTAAAGAGAAATAAAAATGTGGCTTTGTTTAGATTGTTGTTTTAACCGATTGCAACACCTTACTGGTTTCCTCCTTAATAGTCATTTAAATAAAATCTTCAACCCCTGTTTATTTTTAAAAACCAGAATCCAGCAATCTTTGTTCTATTTTTGTTTTTTTTTTTATTTATTTGACAGAGAGAGGGAGATCACAAATAGGCAGAAAGGCAAGCAGAGAGAGAGGGGGAAGCAGGCTCCCCGCTGAGCAGAGAGCCCGATGAGGGGCTTGATCCCAGGACCCCGAGATCATGACCTGAGCTGAAGGCAGAGGCTTAACCCACTGACCCACCCAGGTGCCCCAGCAATCTTTGTTTTATTGAGACTAGCTTCTTTTGCTTAATAGAATGCTCTAGAAGGTCACCCTGACTGTTGCAGGAGCCCGTAGATTATTCCCTTTTGTGGCTGAGCAGGAGGTCATTGTATGGCTATGCCACAGGCTGTCCATTTTTCAGATGATGGACTTTTGGGGTTGTTCTCAGTATTTGACTATTATGAGATTGATTATAGAGGTCCTCTTATAGACCTATATT